TCTCCTTCTCTGCAAACGCAATCACATCGTTTTGGAATTGGAATGGCGCTGAGAAGTTGGTGCTGACGTCGACGCATCGCTGGAATGCCTTGATAGAGGAGACCGTGTCGGAGCAGTAACGAGATCCGTCCATTATCATGTTTATTCGTTGTCATGGTTCATACAGTGGCGGTTCATCGACGTTTATCCGTTTGTTTGATCAGGCTTATCAGTGTCGACATTCGTCACGAGATCCTTGATACTAATATCACCCTTGACTGTGCCGGCGGCCAATGTTGCGGTGAGTCCGAGTCCCAAAATGCGGGACTTTACAATGGAGTATCCGGCGGTTTGATGAAACTCACAGAAAGCTGTTTCGCAGTGAGTGCTTTAGGCTCTTATCCATGTGTTCTTCCAGGGATCTCTGCCGCAACCTTGACCTCGACTTCGGCCGCGATCGTATCCTGCGAGTCAACTTGATAATTATGAGCTTCTCTGAATCCTCCTTCGTGTTGGACATAGCCGGAGCCGGTAATACCTTTTTCGATGTATAAGGGTTTGCGGTCTATGGTGGTTCGCTTGTCTACTTGGGATTCCCCATTTTTTTAGATAGTCTGCGGACCTCCTCTTTGCGCTTGGCGAAGTTTGTAGAGCGAATGGAGGTCGTCCTGGATGGTTACTGACTCGTTTACGGTCATCTCTTGACGAAAGGGGGAAGGACACCATAATGCTCTTTTCAAAGTCTCTAGTGCGGAGGTGTTGCTCAAACCTTCCACTTTGGATAGTACCGTTTTGAACCTCCCCATGAAGGTTCGTAGACTCTCGTGTTCTCCTTATCGTACAGCCCAAAGATTAGAATCGAAGATGTTTTGCTCTTTTTCAACCGAATTCTTCTCCTGTAGAACCATTGGAGGGCAGTGGTGTTTCACGAATCATATACCGTAGTGTTTCACGAACAGCTTGCAGTAACCGATATCCACTTTTTTCTTTGAAGTTAGCTTTTTCCGTAGCTACAGTTAATGCCATAGGGTGGTCTTTTGGATCGTATCCCCTTTATAGGATTGTATTTTGATTTTTCCAGGATCAGAGATCTTTGCTCTCGAGATACAGTATGTGAAGCGCACCTCCTCGAGCACACGGTCGATTTCTGGTGCCTTGTTGTTGAACCAGTGCATCTGGGATTGCACGACCCTTAAGTTGGAGGCGGCGCTCTCCAACTGTGCTTGCATCTTGGCCATCTCGATATTTTGAATCTCGATCAGGGCCTTGCGTTCTTGTTCGAGCTTTAATTGTTCGTTCCAGTAGAGACCTCCTTCTTCGTCGGTCAAGTCCTGGTCACGCTTGGCGTCCGCGTCGTTCTGACGAGCCTGGGATCGATCTTTCCCTGTGATTCTCCGAGGTGCGTATCTTGCATGGGTTGTTGTCTATGCCGAACGTCCGCGCGATCCCTCCTAAAGCGGCTTGGCGTTCCTAAGCGATCCTTTGTGAAGCAGCTTGGCGTTCCTGTGCATCCTTCTGAGGTTGTTGGTCATGTGCCCGTTGTTCCGTTGGCTCGCTCTTGAGTTAGATCCGCTGTCCGCAACGGCGGCGGTGGTGGTAGGTCATCTCAGGTTTGTGGTTTGACCGTCCGAGTGACCGCCGCGGTCCGCCAGTCCTATTGGTTTTCTCGCGGGCCTTGCTCGCCATTGTAAGAGCCTCCACTTTGTCTTCATAATCTTTTGACTTCTCAAGGAGTATCTTCATCATGTCCTTTAGTTCGGTCAAGGCTGTCGGATTCGTCGCGGTGACGTCAACAACGTCGTTGCCTGCCTGGCTGCCCCTGGAGACCGTGTTGCTGGCCATGACGCCGAGGAGTCGTC